TCCATTTCGAAAGGACCAAGTACCGGGCAGATCGTGTCCTGCTGCCGGAGGCGGCTTGGGCTCCTTTCGAACATACACCGCGCTACGCGCGTCCACTCCGAGAGCCCCCATGACGTGGCCAGACGGACATCTTCGCCGAAACCGGCGCGCAGAGAGCGCGGCGCCTGTTTCGGATTTGTTGCATGGCCGGACAGGAGACGAAGAGCCCGCGGCCGAATCCGGCCTCGGCCCCCCAATTGAAGCGACACCTGCGAGATCCGTTCTCCTTCACGGATCTGCGACACCTGCGACACCAGCGACACCAGCGATGCCCCCGAAACTCCCCCGGGGCCCCGAAAACGACGAGCATTCTCACACCCCGCCCACGCCGTTCGCCAATGGCGCAGCGGCGGATTTCGCAAGGAAGCACGGCTTCGAGGACGTCCAGCTGTTGCGCTCTCTGCTGGCGTTCCTATTGCTCTTGCTCTCCGAGCTGCCCCTCGAATGTTTCTCGGACGTTGCCGCCAGAGAGCGCGTGCGGCGGCTCGTCGAAGAGTTTCCAGAGGCGCACGCTCACGTGGTCACCTGCGGTCCCCGGTCGGGCCGCCTGCCCGTTTTCGACGCCGGCCTGCGGAGTCGTGGCAGAGCTGCGGCGTCGATCTACAACGTTGTCTACGGGCCCGACGTTCCAGCCTCGCGCAAGCGCCTCGCGGGGTGGGCGTTCCTCGATTTCGTCTTCCGGTACACCGGTTCTGCAGCCATCCTCTGGGGCACGGTCCTCGCCCCGGCGTGTCGCGCGAAAACTGCCGCGGTATTCAGTGACGGAATGTCGGCCACCAACGCCGTCTCCATCGTTGCCTACGTCGCTGACACGATTGCGTGGTCTCACAGCATGCGCACGGAGCTCGTCGGCGTCTTCGCCCGCGGCGAGGGGCGGCCGCAGTTCATCCGCGGGCGCGAGGTGGCGAGCCGCGCCCCTGGCGGTCGCGTCCTCGACCACCTGCTCGAGGGGATGCGATCGTGGGTGGGGCCTTGCGTGGAGGTCGGAGCTGCCGCTTGGGACCTGCTCTAGACACTCCGCCTTTCCGGGAAAACGGCGGACGCCGTTGCGAACCAGAAGAGTCTGCATGAATGCCTGAAGGCGCTGATGGAGAGCATGCTCAAGGCCGAGTTGATCGGCCAGCCGAAAGTACCGGCCAACCTCTTACTGGAAGAGAAGGTCATGGTCTACGCGGCCAAATTCCCCCTGAGCGATACCTTCCACCTCGCACGTTTGCCTGCGGCGTCGCATTCCGCCGCCCCATCGAGCACGCGGGCCGCCTTTTGGGGTCCGGTCTCTCTGCTTCCTCCTCCTCCTCCACCCGCTCCTCTCCCTCCACCTCCTCCTTCTTCCTTCTCTCCTCCCACAGGTACGCGCGAGCGTTGTGGTTTCAGAGTTTGCGCCGCACCTGGCCGGTGAAAAAACACATTCCCGAAGGGGCATGGTTACGCCTGCGGGTGCAACGGGCACCACAGCGGATCACCTGCATGACGTGCGAACGGGCGACCCGAACAGGTGGGGAAAGCTTGACGGTGGGCCGCAGCTGCCCAGTGCGTTGCACTTGCCCACCCTGTGCCGCGCTACTCCAGCGCTCCGCACATTCCGCCGGCCCCTACCGCATCATCATTGTCACCTGCTTGCGTGCTCGCGAGTGCTTTTCCGGCGTTTCTTGGGGCCGGTCTGTGCCTCTACGGAGCTCCCTGGGGGTGTCCTTCGGGCTCCCAGTGGCCGTTTGACGTGTGTTGGAGCTCCCTCCAGCACCCCATGCCGTCTGTCCAGGAGGGCTTTGACTCAGGTGTGGTTGCCCCTCTGCTGCCCGTCCCGGGGACCCTTTGGAACCTCCCGGCCGCGCTTGGGCGTCCGCTGGGGCCATGTTGGGCCTCCGTGAGCTATTTTGTAGCCCCCCTGGAAGCAAGCCTGCAGGGCCGTTTCTGGGCTCCGTTTGGCCCGAGCTTGGATGTTTGGCGGACTCCTGTCAACATGCCACCCAGCGATCTTCGCTCTTTCGCCGTTTTCGGGCTCTCTTGGTGCTCTTGCGAAGCGCCCATTCCGTTGCATCCGCCAAGTCGGCACGCTGCGCGCGCGCTGATCTCTGCCACGGGGGCTCGCGGATTCGACATGCGCACGAGCTCCATGTTTTTTCGGGCCCAGCCCTCGCGCGTTCCTCTGTTCGGCGCGGCGGCAGGTCGCGGGCACGTGGGAAGCGTGCCGCGACGTCGTTGCTGTGTGGCAAGACTTTACTGTTCTGATCAACAGCGCGTTCGGTGTTCGCTTGTGTTTGTACTTCATGCAAATGCTGCCGTGCACCTGGCGCGAGTTTCTGCGGCCGCTGCGTAGATGCGAAGCGCAGGCCGCGCATTTAAGTGCCAGCGACGCCTTCCTGCAGGATTGCGTGCTCAGACGATCCCGCATGCGCGCGTACGCTTTGGAAACGCACGTGCACAACAACGCTTTCGACTGGCTCATGTTCCACGGGCTCTTTGATTCTTTCGCTTCCTTGGCTGCGGATCGCCGCCGCGACATTTTGAACAGCTTCACATGGGGCCGCGAAGTCAGCCGAGGGGGCCTCCTTTTGCATCTGCGGGGGTCTCCCGCGATGTAGGTATGGGCTGTTCTGGTCGCGCGCGCCTGCGACATGGATCCCTCGTCATACTGCTGCGCAACTTCGCCCCCCATAAAAGCCCCTGTAACGGAACCGGGCTCGTCGTCGAGAAGATGCGCAGGCACTTCCTCGTCGTGCGGGTCGTGACAGGGCCGCATGCTGTGACTCCCGCGGCGATTGCGAGTTGCCGTTCGTCCTGCGCCGGCACCAGTTTCCAGTGAAACCAGCCTGGGTAATCGCAATTAACAAAAGCCAAGGTCAATCAATTTCAAGCTGCCTGGGCATTTACCTGCCCGCCGCTGCGTTTGCCCACGGCCAGCTCTACGTCGCCTTCTCGCGAGGCTCGCCCTTCGAAACTGCGCCGTGCATCGTAGATGACACGGGGGGCGACCGACAAGCGCGCGTCCCTGACGAACCGCCCACGAAGCCCGACCGCTGTTTCACCGCCAACATTGTGGACCGCCAACTGCTGCAAGCCTCCGAAGTATCATCGCGGCATTCAGACGCGTCTGACCCGAGTGAGGCGGTGGCTGCGTCCACTGCGCATGCTCTTGCCGCTGCCTCTACGCTGAGCCCTGAATAGCTCGCCGCTGCGCGTAGCCTCTCAAAGCTTCACCTGCCGACCGCAGTCTGTTCCACATGCCGGCCGACGCAACAGTCGCCAGTCGACGACGCCATATCGCATGAGCCCGCGTCCTCACCAAACCACTGCGACAGCGTTGTGCCTAACGACCTTGGCGTCGAGGAAGAAGCGGCCGGAGCGCTGGGGGCGCGGGGCGCAAGCTACTCTCAAGGCGAAGTTGCGCCTCACATCACCTTCGACGAAACTGCCGCCCAAACGCCTGGAGCTTCTGGCCGCCCCACCGGCGCGGCGCCTCCACCACCTGCCCGACGTGCCATGCGCAGGCGGCCAACACGCGCGCGGCGCGGATTCCTCCCAACAACCCAAGAATGCTGCTCGACGACCTGTCTGTGCGACCCCCCAGGCCTGCCACCCAATAGCGGAAGCGGCAGTATTCCACCGGGGAAGTCTGTTGACGCCAGCGGCAGCGACGACGCCGCGGAGCGCCCGACGAAGGCTTCCCGCACCACCGGGTCAACGGCTGCACCCGACAATCCTGTTCGCGCAGCGTGCGCGACCATCGTGCCACATCGTCAACGGAGCCGCTGGCAGGGAGCACCGCGCTCCTTTTTGCCTCCCCCAACTGATTTGCCACCGCTGCTCCAATGTCCATCATGGTTCAACTCTCCGGCCAGTGCTGCTATCACATCTAGGGGCACGCAACAAGGAGCAACTTGCGGTCTGCATGCGTTCAACCACTGCATGGTGACAATCCATGCGTTGCAGGAGCGGCAACCTCGCATAGTTCCCCGCGCCACCTTCGAGACCGCGGCCATGCACCACGCTATAGGCGACGCCCCCGGAAACCTCATCGCGCCTGGTGGAAGTAATTATGACGTGGCAGTACTTACCAGCAACTTCACCACAGCTGGGGCTGCTGCCATTCCACTGACGCCCGAGGACATCCAGAGGCGGCTCGGGAACGTGTTCGCCGATTATGACACGCCCGAAGGTGCGTTTCGGTCGGGCGCGTACCTTCTGCGTGCCCCGTCGTCAGGCGGACATTGGATCGGCGTGCTGAATGGATCGCTCGTCCCTGCAGTACCGCAACAAGAGGCCACCGCGCTGCTCTGCGACTCTTTATACACCACACCTCACATAATATCCCACACCGAAGTAGAAGACCTTATCACAGTGTGTGCGTTTGAGTATGCTGCGCGACGCTCAGTTTTGGAATTTTGCCCGTGGCACTGCTTCTTAGTGGCTCACCGCGTATTGCGATAGATCGCGTTCCAACCTTCCCCTCAGAGCCGTGCGGCCGAGTGCTGTTTCACCACTGCTGGACCGTGCGGTGCGATGACTGACATTTGGAGCATTCTGGAGAAGAATACTTTTGCCTCGCCTCGACACCCAGACTCTTCCTTCTTGCTCTCCCATCCCACACGTCCACCCTACTCGTGACTCCGAAGATGCGCAAGCACTACGCAGCAACTGTGTCTTAGTAGCGTCTTCGCTCTCGGATTATCAGAAGGCTCTCCTGGAAACCGCCTCGTGAGCGTGCACATTTACACGTGTATGCATACGTATGACTATATGTATATATACATATATGCATATGTATGCGTCTATGTATGTGAGCTTGCAGGCTTCCATTAATAGTTATACGCCTATGTACACGTCTACGAAGTGGAACGGGGGTATGTGCATATGTATAGGTATGCACACATGCTTACTACCAACTGAGACTGAAAGATAGGCTCAGACCGGAGGGTCCGAGCCAAGGGGTCACTGGAGCCTCACCTTTTTCATCTTTCACTCTGCGTGGAACGGAGGGCTGGGGCCGACGGTCGTGCACAACATCTTGGTGCCGAGTGCGCACCCCAACTGCAGCCGTGCGTCGACGGCGCAAGGGGGAGTGCGCACGCAAAAATTCAAAGCAAGACTCACAGAGAGACGCGGGGGAGGAGAGGAGGAGGAGGAGGAAGAGCTTGAGCCGAGCGCGGCGACGGCGCGGACATGATCGTGCATCGCCGCGCAGCGGCCACCCTGCAGTTGGGCAACACCGTTTGGAAGGCTAATTTATGCACACATGCTTACTGCCAACTGAGACTGAAAGATAGGCTCAGACCGGAGGGTCCGAGCCAAGGGGCCTCAAGGGGTCATTGGAGCCTCACCTTTTTCATCTTTCACTCTGCGTGGAACGGAGGGCTGGGGCCGACGGTCGCGCACAACATCTTGGTACCGAGTGCGCGCCCATTTCCATTCTGGATGCCCTGGCAGCCGCCCATGATCATCTCGAAACCACAGTCAACATTCTCTGATGTTCCAGCGCATCCGCGGACTGAACCAGCCATTTGGCGAGGCCGAGAGCGAAACGTGATGGGGAGGTCTCAGCCAGCCGTGACCGACAGATGCTAGTGCCTGGAATCTTGCCCTGGAGCTCAACGTGTCGCATGTGACTGAAGCTGCACAATCCCTTGCGTCCCTGGCATCGACGGGGCATCGAGGGTGGTGGCAGACGCACGTTCCAGCCCACAAGCTTGGTGGGCTTCCTCCACGGGCTGCCAAAGGCACACATGTCAACGATTGAAATCCTGCAGCTCGGCCTCGCCAACAAGGGAGACAACGTGGGGTGAGACCAAGCCATAGACGATGCGGGGTTCTCCAGCAGCACTGGCACTCCAGCGCGCAAGCAAGCGGGCAAGAGAAGCAGCATCCCACGGAAGGTGGCGTTGCCTGCGCCCACTTTCGCCTGCTGCGCCAGAGTCAAGCCCGGTCGACCGACCAAGAATTCAAAGTTACGATAAAGAAAAAAAGAGGCCATCGACCACATAGTACACGGACATGCAATCATGACTCCTCTCACCACTCGGCTGCTGATCCATCCAACCAGCAGTTTGATCAAATTCGGGTCTGTCATATCCATGGCCACAGAATCTTTGAGATCGATGGGGATACAACCGGAATCTGAAATACGACGAATTGAATTGGCAACCTTTCCAGCACCACAGAAGACATCTAGACATTGAAGCGGAGTCCTCGAGACAGCTCCTCTCGCAAGATCCTGGACATCAATCGGCGGACAGCTGGTCCACTGATGCGATCAAAGCGCACGACCACGTCACCGTCGCGATGCACAAGATCCCCTCTCAGAGCAGAGCCTCGCCCTGCTGGCCGCGCCGACGCTTGGGGGCGCCGGCCCAGGCTGGAGGGGGCCTTTGCCCGGTCACGAGCTCGCTGAAGTGGGCCTCCACGTCGCTCGCGAAGTCCCTGAGCTCTCGCGACACCTTCCCGAGCTCGGCCAGGTAGCGAGTGTGCTTCTGATAGCGGGCTGTGCTGGCGACGGCGGCGTGGCGAAGCCGCTCTTGGACTTCTGGCAACGTCCGCCGTCTGTGGAAGATGTCGTGACTTGCAGACCCGTGCCGGATCTGATACGGATGGAGCCGCGGCCGCCCGATGGCCTCGGCTGCGGTCTTGAACCACCGTCGAAACTGGTGCGCCGAAAAGCCCCACACTTTGCTGTCGTCCGCAGTCTGGGCCTTGAGCCTCCGCAGCACACCGCCGATGGACAGCGCGGCCGCGGAGTCCAGGAGCACGCCCTCGTCGTGGCCGCCCACCTTGCTGCGGCCCATCCCCTCCTCGGGGTACAGGAGGAGCCCCCAGCGCCTGTTGGGGCTCCCGCTCGCAGGCGGCACGAGGCTGCGGCCGGTCATGCTCATCAGATCGACCGGGGCCCGCAGCGCCCCGTCCCACGCTGTCGCGAGAGCGATGCTGAACTCCAGCGGGGCAAAGTGGAGACTGACGCCGATGATCGCGAACAGCAGCGGCTCCGGCATGGGGGTGCGAGAGCACCCTCTGGCCAGCCGGCGGAACCCCTTCAAGGCCGCCCGAAGTCGGACAGGATCTCTTGGCCCGTGCCGGACAGCCTGGGGGTCGTGCCAGCCGATGGACGCCAGTAACTTGTCGCCGCGCTCGTGGTTGTAGCCCGCGAAGTAGAGCCAGTCCACGTACAGGGCCGCGGCCCGATCCAGCGGGTCGCCCAGCTCGACGGGCAGCCTCCGCTCCAAGCACCACTGCTGAAACTCCTCCCGCTCCTTCATAAGGTAGCGGGCGGTCCCCTTCCTCACGCGGTGGGCCTGCAGGAAGGCGAGGTTGCTCGGCTCCAGGTCGCCGAGAGGCGCGCTCGCAGCACGCCTTGCCACCCCTCGCTGGGCCACTCGAAGACTCATAGAGCGGCCCGTCTGAGGCGGTGGCCGACGGGGCGCTGTGGAGGCCGAGGCTGCCCCCCCGAGCGATGGGGTCGTCGTCCAAGCCGTCGAGCTCGTCGCCCGTGGCTGAGCTGCTCGAGGAGCACGAGGCCTCATCAGGCGCCCCCCCGTCACTTCCCCGTTCACCAGGGTGGAAGCCCTGGAAGCCCCTCTCGAGGTCGGCCGGACCAGCCGGCCGCTCCTGACCCCCATGACTCGAGCAGCCCGAAGTGCCGAAAGCAAGATCCTCGATCGCGTCCTTGAGCCGAGCCTTGGCTCCGTCAGCATACAGGCCAGGAGGAACTGATGCACGTCCTGGAACAGCCCCGGCATCACCAGGGGCGCCTGGGAGTCGAAACGCAGGATGTCGCCGATCGAGTCGGGGATCCTGGACAACCTGACCCGGCATTCGAGACGGCCGATCGGCGGGGTTCAACTCCGAGGGTATCCAGCGAACGACGATGTCGAGGTCCCCCATGATGCTAAGGGCACACAGCTGGCGGCACGTGCGGCTCGTGGACTGGGGCGCGGCACGCCCCTTCCCCGAGGCCAGGACGACCGGGAGGTTGTCGACTAGCACCAAGATCCTGGATCCCCGAGACCTCGACGCCCTAGCTCGATGACGAACTCCAACAAGTAGCCCCCGTCCCTCGAGTCGACCGATGTGCTCGGAGCCCCAGAACCTACCCTTGACCAAGAGCTTCCAATCCTCCTCCACCCCAACATCCACCTCGGTCAACCGAATAAACGACGTAATACCTCGGCGGCGTCGGCGTTCAGCCTTATCGAAAACGGTCTTTGACGAAACGGAGCCCCCGACCGTCCCAAGGGCATGCTGACGGGCAGAGATGGCTTCATCGACTGAAAATCTCCAGGACTCCGAAACACGAGTGGCTGAGACAACATCGACGGCATCCCATCTTCTGGACACGACTCCAAATCCCCCGCTCCCAGTAGCTCCTCCGGTAGAGGCGTCGGTAGCAAGGACTTCAGGATCGATGAGACGACGACACTGGATTTGAGCGAACACGATCAGAGCGGCACCCATCCTCAATTCTTCCTCCACGTGTGGCCAGAGGCGCCGACGGCGCGGCCCGGCCCACTCAGAGAACTTATGCACCGAGGACAGGATGGACATGAGGGGCCTCCGAAGGAGCGCGGCCCACGTGAAGTGCCCCACGAGGATCATCAGCTCGTCACCGCTGGCCCACCCCCTGTCGCAGACGTGGAGGAAGGCAAGCCTGACGCGCCACATGCGCTCGCGGGACACGCGGATGGTCCTGGCCGTCTGGTCGAAGACGAGGCCTGTGAACTTGACCTCGCTCGCGGGCTCCTCGAGCCCCTTGCAACGGAGCCCGCCCTCCTCAAGGGAGACCAGCACCTTCTTGCCCAGGCCCGCGGCGGCGTGCCGATCCTGGCTGACGACGGCCACTCCGTCGACGTACACCGCCACCTTGGGCCCGCTCACCAGCTCCGGGCCCCCGTGGCGGCCCCGCGCGAAGTCACATCGGGAGGCGCCGGCGGCCCGAACGCGGGCCTCCACCGCCTCCTGGCAGAAGTATAGCGACCACGAGAAGCCCATGGCGAGGACCAGCAGCTGCGGCGTGGCATACACCCCCTCGAGCTCGCTCGGCACCAGCTCTGGGCGCAGGCGTCGGACCTCTCGGAGATCCACTCGAGGAAGACGGAACCACTCCTCCAACCCCCGCGGGGCCAGGATCCTGTAGAAGGCACTCTCCGCCTCCATCTGGCATACGTGCAGCTCTCTGTCGACGTCCATGGACGTGCGAGCCCGCGCGGACCCCGTCGGAAGCTGAACCTACTCGGGGGTCTCGAAGTATTGATTATCTTGTCTCGTGTCAAAGATGATGCGGCAATCTCCATTAGCTTTGCGCACAAAGAAGAGTCCAACAGCGGCGGAAGCAGGCGTGGTCAAATTCACCAAGCCCTTCTCAAGCAAGAGGATAATGAATTCAGCATACTGACTAGGATCACCCGCAACGTCTCGTCAACGTAAGGTCTGATTGGTGCAATGCCCGACGGGTCCTGACGCAAGATCCGACTCTCCCAATCTACCCAATAATGGCGAGCATCCCCCTCCAGCACCTGGGTGAGGTCACGCGACGGCGCAGAGGAGGGCAAGGAGAGCTTCTCCTTCTGGTAGCGGGCTACTGGCTCCGACTCTGAGTAGCCGGGCAAATTTCGGCACAGCTCGCGATGGGCTGCCGCCGCGCTGAACGGTGGAGGTCCAGCCAAAACTATAGAATCTCGAAGGTGTTGAACGCCTGCAGCCTGAGCTGCCGACTGCCCCTCCGGGGCCTCGAACTCGGGCCCAGAGTAAAGCGAATTCAGAGCATGCAGCGCCTCGGACGTCCAGCCGCCCACAGCCGCAGCCTGGCGTTGGCGAGGCCGCACCGACCTGCAACAGCCAGTCGACGCAGGTCCCAGAGGCAACCGGTGAGCAGCGGCTGGAAGCAGCTCACGAGGCGCGGGGCCGAGGGCCGTCATTTTCCCTGGCCCCGGCCCTTCGGACCGGAGCCGCCATCTTGTCCACCGTCATCGGCCACTCCAGCCGCCTTCAACTTGTCCGTCAGCCGCTTGATCTCGGCCGACTGGTTGCTCACCTTCTGCTGCAAGGAACGCCCATCGGCACTGCCCGCAGCACCGCCAGAGCCCCGTGTCAAGGCTCTCTCCTCCCGCAGCTTGCGCCGCTCCTTGGTCGTCATCATCTCCTTGTGTAATTGTTCTGACACGTGATCCTGGAGAAGTGGACACACCATCAGGAGGCCGCGGGTCTCGGCGGTGCCGAGGTAAAGAAATTCATCTTCAAGTAGTTCGCCGTCGCCCCGACCAAGGATTCGGTCTCGGTAACGCCGCTCAGCCATCTGGGCGCGACGCGCCACATACTCCATGATAGCCAACTCTGGTAGAGTTGGTCGTAAGAGGGCCCTATCTCGAAGAGCCTCATGCACAGCTCGTGGTCCGAAACACCGACGTCGGTGATTGACAAGTTGCATTCGTGCTTCCAGCGGGTATGTCTCGCCTTGGGCGAGTGGTCCTGCTGCAGGATGAAGCGCAAGCACCGCGGCACTGTCCGGGGCCCGCGCAGGGGCCAGAAGGCCCACGTAGTCTCAGTCATGCCGCGCACGGCGGCGGCGAACTCCCGACGACGCTCCCCTTGTTGCTAAGGACCACAGAGAGTGCGCGCGCGTCGGGCTCCTCGGCGGCCTCCCCGGCCGGCACCTGCTTGGCCGCGAGAACCTCCGAGCCCCGCTTGAACATCACGACCTTGCCCATGGCGACCCACTCGTCGGCCTGCTCACTGGCGAGGGGCATGCCTTTGCCCCCTGACGAGGGCGCCTCGATGCACATCCACACGTTGGCACCTGGGTCTGGGAGCTGCCCTGACCCCTGAGAGAGGCCCCTACTCGCTGTCGGTCCAGCCGCCGAGTCCCCAAGAGCCTGCTTCCCGACGAGGCGTCTGCTCGGACCCGGGGGGCCGACGCAAAACTCCATCGCGTCTTGGTACTCGCGGATGCTCGGGGACCAGTCCGAGCCGTAGACGGAGGGCATCCGTCGGACTCCGTCGCGTAGTTGACCTTCCCGACATACGACCAGCTCCTGGCCCGTCTCGTCGAAGGCCGTCAGAGAATGAAGAGGAGGACACTTCAGAGCGTGGGGGTAGACGTCGCCGTCGGGCGCCAGGCAATATTTCAATCTCCCCTCCGCTGCTGCCAGAGCTGGTGGGGGCTCCCCGCAAATGTCTTCGTACTCGGCCCCGTCGCAGTCCGTCAGCACGTATCGAATCTGCAGAGACTCGCCAGCTCTCCATTGGACGGCGACGCGGGCTCCGGCGCGCACCCAAGAGGACATAGGTCCCACAGGTGCCGACCAGCCACCCCAGCACGCCACCGAGCCCGAACACGCTGAGACCCAGGGTCCTGACTCCCCCGAGCCCCTCCAGCAGGTAGCAGGTCTCGGCGCTGGATGCCAGCGCAGCGATCGAAGGGAAGGCGCGACCCACGAGGGTCGTAGCCCAGCTGAGGCCGACGACCTGTGAGATAGATGTCATGGGCGGGCTTCTGCCGCCAAAAAGAGCTTGAGCCGAGCGCGGCGACGGCGCGGACATGATCGTGCATCGCCGCGCAGCGGCCACCCTGCAGTTGTGCAGCACCGTGTGGAAAGCTAATGTTTAGGTGTGCGTGTGTGTACGCAGATGTAGAAGTATATGTCTACGTCTATGTCTATGCGAAGGTACGAAGCTACCAAATCAAACAACACGACGCCTGGAAGTACCTCCTTCTCCTCCTCCGCACCCCCCCTCCTACTTCTGCTCGCCCCAGGATAGGCCCCAAAGGGTACTCGAAGAAGCCCGCGAGGCAGGCCTATGAAGGGCGAGAGAGAGAGAGAGAGAGAGAGAGAGAGAGAGAGAGAGAGGAGGTTGTCATTCGGGGCCCCATCGATGCCACACTTGTCTCGCGAGGGGGCACCGAGGTTTCAGCGCTGACAGACAGCGGGCAGACAGACGCGGCTCTTATGATGAAACACCTTTTTGGTCCGCTTTCTACAAGCCTTTGAGTCTCAAAGCACCTCTAGCCTCCCCTTGCAATTTCGCATCGGTGAGCGGGCGCCATGCCCCGGCCCGGCCGCGCGGTCCGTCGCCGCGCCCATGGCCGCCTCAAACATGCGCGCCTCGAAGATGCAGACATTGGTTAGCTTGGCCGGCTCCGACAAGTCCGACAGCCCGGACTGCGATGCGCCGCGGTCGCGGTCGCGATCGCCGGCGCTGCCGAAGCCGCGGGCCCCCGATGAGCTTTCGGTGACCAAGGCCAACATCATGGCTCGCATCGCAGCCGCCGCTGCGGCCAACCAATTGGGAGAAGTCCGTCACCTCCTGGAACAGGCATATAAGGCCAGCGAAGCAGAGGCCCCGTGCAAGGATGGCTCAGCTGGGTCGTCGAACATGGGCCGCGATGGCGGACCGGCAGACGACTCCTTGGAGAGCGTGGACAGTGGCGGCGGCCCCCGCCCACCAGTGCCGACTGGGGGACGAATTGGCGAGCTGCCCGACGCCTCTTCGGAAGCAGCGGGGAGTGGGAGTGGTCTACGTCCAGAAGTCGGTGCCGCGCGCGCCCTGCCATGGACGCCGCCGCCCCACCAGCGCGCAGGCGCGGCGCCGCAGCCGCCATTGCGCGAACGGCACCCCGCGGTGCTGCCGCGGGGGTTGCCCGCCAGGGCGCTCCTTCCAATGCGTCAGACCGGCCCTGGCGCCGTGACCGCGCGCCCTGCGCTGCCGATGCGCTTCCCCGTCGGATCGAGGCTCGTGCCGAACGCAGCCCCCGCCGCGGCCGCGGCGGCTCCCCAGTCGGCGCCGACGGCGCGGTTGTCTCAGCTCGAGCGGCCCCAATTGCAGTCGAGCTGGGTGGAGTTCCACTGCGCCATGGCATCGACGAGCCGCAACCGCGGGAATCAGCGGCTGAACGGGGGCCCCAGGGGAGAAGTCGTCTGCGAGGAGCCGGGCGGCGGCGAGGGGTCCATCGTCATCTCGCCGTGGAATGTGGACAACGAGTCGCTACATATTTTCGACCAGCGAGGAGGTGAAGCTCATCATGCCCACATCAGCGCGTCAGGCGCGCAGGCCGCGCGCGCGCGGCCCCGACGACGAGCTGGCCCGGGGCAAAGCAGAATGCAGCTGAGAGCCCCCGCTTCTCATGGAACTTCGACACCAGCGGCGGCAAATTCCCCGTGTGCAGCGCGACGTGCGTCAGGCCTTCGGCGGGGCCTCGTCGGCCTTCATGGGCTACCGACGTGACTCCCATCAGCAGGATCGCCATGGACTTCGGGGGGGCGCTGCTCGCCAACCTCGGGGCGCGCATCATGAGCACCGGGCCCGTCATTGTAGGTAACGAGCAGCGCCGCCACGCGACGCTGGAAGATGCGGCGGGCGATGCGCTGACGCGACTTTGCGGGCGGGGCGCGCTTCGGGCCGGAACATGGGAGGAAATGGCTTTCTTCTACGCCGGCAACGTTGAGATCGCATGCGCCGGGAAGCGCAAGGAGACCGGGGCAGAGTTCTCGGTGCCCCGCGTATGCAACGTGTGGTGGAACAGCGTGATTGCACCCGAAGAGTAGATGCAGCGCCAGAAAGGAAGGCCGCGATGTTGGGCAGCAGTTGATTATGGCTCATACTTGTTTGGCGGCAGCGCGCAGTGGTTGTGACCTGTTGAAGGACCGTGCGATGCTGAGCCTGTAGACGTATCACTGTTGTGCCTGCCGATGTCTCTGCCGTGCCGTGCCGGTTGATTTATTGTGCGAGGCAACGCTCAACTCTTCGCGCCATTCCGCTCTGAATTGGTTTATTCCCGGCTGCCTCGTGGCACCGCGGGGGGTCGCCCGCCCGCGCGTCTGCGCAATCCGCGCGAGCGCGCGCGGCCGCGCCCCGCGGGGTGCGCCCACGTCCGTCCTCCTTGTTGCTCGTGCCTCTGCGCGTTTGGACATCCTTCCATCGTCGCCCCATATCCTGGCCCCTTGTCGTTCATGCCTTCTCGCGCGCTGTCAATATCCCTGCTGGTCGGCCACCGGGCCTCTTCCATATTCCAACATCCCAACGCATTATCTGATCCCCTCTCTCCCTTGAGGACTGTGACGGGGTGCGCAGCTGTGCTTTCGATTGCTTTCTCGGGCCGTCGCTCCGAGTGTAGTGGGTATTTTTCAGCGACGCGCGCGTCCTTGGAAGAGCCTGGAAGAGACGCGAGCGCGCCCCTCCAATTGGCCACTGCGCTGGCCGCGGGTGCCCTCTCACGACGAACAGCTCACTGAACGCGAAGGCACCCCATGCACCCACTCCGCCCCGCCCCCCCCCGGCGCGGCGCCAGGCGCCGAGCCCCCCGCCCTCGCTGGCAATCGCGCGCGTCGACTCTGGCCCCCGCTCCCCAGTTGAGTGCAGGCGTCGAATTCCGCGCCCGCGCCCCGCAGCTGGGCGAGCTTGCGTCGCCGTCTTCCGCTTCCAATACGGGGCGAAACACCAGCCGCGACATGCGCTTGCAAAACAAATGTTGACGCTTCGCGTATCCCCACCAGCCCATCCAGAAACGATGCCCATGAGAACTGACGGGGGGAAGGAGGAAAAGACGTATAGTCAAGCAGCGCGGGCAACAATAGTGAATTGTTTTGGAGGCCTCTTGGGGCGTCTATGGGGGTTTCTTGGATGCCTCGGGGATGCTCTTGAGGCCTCTTGGGGGTCTGTTGGGAGCCTCTTGGACGGCTCTTGGGGTCGTCTGGGCGGCCCTTGGGACGTCTGGGGGGTATCTTGGCCGTCTTGGGGGGCTCTTGGGCGTCTTGAGTGCCTCGGGGGAGCCTTTGGGGCCGCTTGGGGCCCTCTTGGGGGCCTCTTGGAGGCCTCTTGGGGCCGTCTTGGGGCCATCTTGGCGCCTCTTGGGGCCTCCCGGGCGCCTCTTGGGGCCATCTTGGAGGAGATCGATCAAAAAAGGGGGGGTCCTTAATTAGCGTTGCCCCTCGAGAGCGCCTAAAATAGCCTCCTGGGCCCCTCTTGGGGCGCTCTTGGGCGTTCTTGGGGCCGTCTGGGGGCTCTATTTGGCGTTCTTGACGACGGTGACGATCCTAGCTAGAACCTAAGCGCGCGCGAAGCGCGCGCGTGGTTCTTGTGTGTGTGTGTATATATATATATATATACACGCACACACATACATACGTAAGACATGTAGGATTGTGTACACAGGAGATGGACAATCTATAAAAACATACGTACGTCGTCCAGGGCGCCTCGGAAAGCGCAGAATACACCTCCAAGGCGCGTCTCTTGGGCCGTCTTGGGGCGGTCTTGGGGGCCTCTTCGGCGGTTTTGTAGCGGTTTTGGGAGACTCTTGGACGGTCTTGGAGCGTCGGAACCCCGAAAAAGCGAGAGAAGGCCAACAATCTCGAAAAAAAACAATAAAAATCAACGATTTTGGCTTGTCGGGGCTCTCTTAGGAGGCCTCTTGGGATGCCTTCGGGGCCTCATGGAGCTCTCTGGGAACGTCTTCGGGCCTTCCTGGCCATTCCTGAGGCTATCTATGCGCGTCTTGGAGCGCTCGCGGGCCGTCTTGGGCGGTCTCGAACTGTTCCTGGCGGTCCCAGGGGCCCTCCGGGACGCTTCGGACGCTCCCGGGGGCGCCCTGCACCCCCGATGGAGATGACATGCACCGCCCCGGGGCCCTACTCCGATATAAGTGTGTGTATATATATAAGTATATATATGTATACTTATATATACTTATATATACTTATATATACTTATATATGTATATACACACTAGAACCATCGCGCGCGCTTCGCGCGCGCTCAGGTTCTTTTTGGGGGGAAACGACTACAGCGGACCACGCGGGTCCAGTCGGTCGGTCAAGGCCAGGTTCGAGCGCAGCTCTTCAATATTAACTCAACACATGCAACAACAAGCGACAAGTCAACAAGCAACAACAGGTTCTAGCCCAGGCCGGGGGGGTGCTGGAAGATCTTTGACAGCGCTATCAAACACAGGCGCGTGACATAGTCGTGCCTCCTGAGGGCCTCTTGGGAACCTCTTGGGTCTTCGTGGGAACATCTGAAAGGCTTCTGGGAGTTTTCCGTGCTGCCTCCGTTGGCTGTTGGAGGCACCTCTTGGGTGCTTCTTGGGGGGGCGTCTTGGGGCTTCTTGGGGTCCCTTGGGGGTATCGTCGGGGTTCTCCGGGCAGTCGGAAGGTGATGTTCTGCAATATGAAGCCGTCATTGGCCGTCTTGGCTGCGTGGAGGCCAGAATTGAGGCCACCTGGGGCCGCACTGATGCAATCCCGAAGCCTCCCGGGTGCCTCCTGGGAGGCTTTTGGGGGCCCTCGTCGGCCCGCTTGGGGACTCTTGGGGCTCCCTGTGGGCCTCGTAGAGCGGAAGGCTCTGCTGTTGGGTTCGCGTTCCCCTTCTTTGGGCCTCTCCTGGGCCCGTCTTGGAGCCCTCTCGGGCCGTCTTGGGCGCCTCAGGCACCGTCTTGGGGCCCTCTTGGAGGCGGCTATCTTGGAGCGATCTTGGGGTCCTCTTGGGCCGTTTTCGAGCGTCGGGATGCCAAAAGGCAGATAACTCTAAAATCTATCAAACACCGATGGGAAAACACAATGAGTTGTGCCTCTACAGGCCTTCCTGGGAGGCCTCTTGGAACCCCTTCGGCCCTCTGGGGAGCTTCTTGAGGGCCTCTTGGGTCCTACTGGGGGCCTCTTGGGGCTTCCCGAAAGCCTCTCGGGGTGGAAGGCTCGGATTGTCGGTTCGTCTTACCCCTCTTGGGCCCCTCTTGGGGCAGTCTTGGTGCCCTCTCGGGCGCCCCAGGCACCCTCTTGGGGCCCTCGTTGGCTGTCTTGGGGCCCTGTTGGAGGCCTCTTGGGCTATCGTGGAAAGGTCTTGGAGGCCTTTGGGGCTGTCTTGGAGCGTCGGGACGCCACCAAGCTGACACCTCAAAAATCAATCAAACACGTATGGCAAGACAACAGTTTTTGCCTCTTGGGGCCTTGGAACTTCTTCGGCCCCCCGGTGCGCTTCTTGGGGTCTCTTGGAGCCTGTTGGAGGCTTCTCGGGGCCTCCTGAGAGCCTCTCGGGGTGGAAGGCTAAGATCTGTGGTTCGTATTACCCCTCTTGGCTCCCTCTTGGGGCCGTCTTGGGGCCCTCTCGGGCCGACATGAGCGCCTCTGGCGCCGTCTTGGGGCCCTCTTGGGCTGTCTTGTGGCCGTTTTCGAGGCCTCTGGGGCTGTCTTGGAATGGACATTGGGGCCTCTTGGGCCGTGTGGAGCGTCGGGAATCTGAAAAGGCGAGAACCCGAAAATCCTTCAAAACCCAACGGCGAAATAAACTATTTTTGCCTCCTGGGGCTCCGTGGGAGGCATTTTGGAAGCCTCTTGGGGTGTCTTGGAGGCCTCTTAGGCAGTCAGGAGCTAATTCTGGGGTGATCTCGGGCCGTTATTGGTCGTTTTCGCGGTCTGGAAGCGCCATTTCTAGCGATCTGGGGTCGTCCCCGGACGATTTTAAAGAGCCCTCGGCGCCGCGGCAAGGCCCCCGAGGCCCCCAGTCCCAGGGCCCCGACCCGGGCCCCGCCTCATGCCCTCGGCGGGGCGTCCCTGGGCCGTCTCGGCGCCCTCCTGGGGGGCAGTTGAAGCGATATTTGGGTGTCTGGGACGGTCTTGGAGCATCGGGCCGCTGAACAAGCAGAATTGCTGAAATCCATACCTCATGAACGTCACTTCTTGGGGCCCTTGGAGGAATGCTCTTGGAGACCACTTGGGCCGAGTTGGAAGCCTTTCGGGCCATCTGGAGGCCTGTTCGAGCGATCTGCCCGCGTATCGAGCCCTCTTGGAGGCCTCTTGCGGCCCTTTTCGTGTGTGTGTGTGTGTGTGTGTGTGTGTGTGTGTGTGTGTGTTGAGCTAACTTGGGCCGTCTGGGGGCGGCCCTAGGCCGTCTCGGCACCCTCGTGGGAGCCTGTTAAAACGATATGTGGGTATCCCTGCCCGTCTTCGGGCGTCGGAAAGCGGAACAGGCAGAATCGCCAAAATGTGCCAGAAACCTTAAGACAAAAAAAACAAGGATTCTGGCTTATTGGTGCCCTTTTGGGGAATGCTCTTGGGGACCCCTTGGGCCGTGTTGGGAACTTCGGGCCATCTGGAGGCCACCTTCGGCTTGATAGAAGGATATTTCCGCGACTATAATTATTTTGACAGCCTCTTGGGGCCGTTTTCATACGTTTTGGGGCTGTATTGGGCCGTCTGGGGGCGGCCCCGGGCCGTCCCAACGCCCTCGTGGGGGCATGTTTGCGCGATATTTAAATGTCATGGACCGTCTTGGAGCGTCCGGACGCTGAACAGGCAGAGTGATTGGAATCCATCAAAAACTTCAGGACAATAGATGATGTGGGCTTCGGCCCTTGGAAGAGTGCTCTCGGAAACTCCTTGGGCCGTGTTGGAAGCCTTCTAGGCCATCTGGAGGCCATCTTGTCGAATTCGAGCTAGATGTCTGCGTGTCGAGTCCTCTTTTTTTGGGGGGATTCAGCACGCCTGTAGCTTAAAAACAGCAGTTGCGAGGGCACCCGCCTGATTGGATGGCATCATGCTTCGGCACGATCACCCACGTGAGACGACGTCGCACTTGTCGCGATATACGTCTCGACGAAATCAACATATTCACGGGTATCGCGGTGTGCAGGCAAATGTGCTTTGGCACGCTATACAAAGCCTACACGTGCGCAACACATGCCAATTCAACATGTTGGCAAATGACCCATGCGTCCAAGGATGGAAAGAAAGACGCCCAACCGGGGAAAGATGACGCACTGGTGCGGGAACTGCGTAAACGCAAACTAACAAACAAGTCGGGATAAACTAAAGAAGAGCACGGGACGACTCGCAGGCCCACAACTCTGAGTTGGTACCTCGGTTACAAACTGCGAAGGCACCTAATTACCATAATGGCGGGCAACATGCTTCGGCACGATCAGCCAAATGAGACGACGTCGCATTTGTAGCGAAATGTCCTCTCACGGGAATAATCAATTGCAAATCGGTGTGCAAGCATATGTTCCTGCGGTTTCGAGCCCTCTTGGGGGCCTCTTGCGGCCCTTTTCATCTGTGTCGGCGCTGCCTTGTGCCGTCTGGCGTCGTCCCTGGGCCGTCTCAGCGCCCTCGCGGGGGGCAGTTGAAGCGATATTTGGGTGTCTGGGACCGTCTTGGATCGTCGGGGCGCTGAACAGGCAGAGTAGTCTTTCCTCTGAGAATCGGGGTAAGATGACAAAGGAATTAAGATCTCATGTTCACTCTGCTCAGGGAGAGAGGGGACGGGATGAGACATTGATAAGACAAGTATCCGTTAAGCAAGACTACTCTATCAGGAATGTGAAGGGAGGAGGTCGGCCGAGGGACGGACGACGACGAACCGCCCGCGCGCCCCAGCGCACTCCTTCTCTCCTGCCAGCCGAGGTCGGCTGGCTCGAGCAGTCGCATGGCTGCGGAAACGCAGCGTCAGTTCCAGCGAACAGTGCGATGCATGCAAACTAAGTTAAGTTCTAATTGAATATGAGGCGGAGAGGAGCATATTTACTCCCCCCGCGGCGGGCCGCGTAGAGCCCATCCAGCCACAGCACCCCCGGCCTGTGCACAACCACCGGAGACAACCCAAAAAGCTTTTACGGCTCAACGGTGGCTGCCAGGGGGCCAAGGGCCGAAGAGGCTCGACGTTTCCCACCATTGTGATAAATATTTCTCTCCGCTGGACCGGCTTAGCCGACCAGTAGAGAGGTCCGCGCCCAACACGCTTCGCGCGTGGGTAAATTGTTTGCATGCGCCTGCCGCGACGAGGTCACGCGGGCGAAACTCAGTTCAGGTCCCCCCGCGGGTTGCTGGTCTCTCGCCTGGGCGGTGCCGGAGGCGGCGGATTTGAAGTCGCCGATCCTCCCGTCTGTACGTCCATGCCACGAGGCGTGCGAGACCGCCCTCTTTCTCTGTTAGTATCACTCATAGGTGCCTTTCCTCTCGGCGGGAAGTGGTAGTCATGCTCACATTTTGATAGCTGGTGCCAGTAACTCAGAGTATACCACTCCTCGTTTGTAAGCCACGTGACCCTGTTACGGCGGATGTAGTACCCGACGAGGGTTCCGTTCGCGCAACGCGGGTAGGACCTGCCAGGGTCGCACTCGTAGCTGTGGCCTGCGTCGCTGCCGGCAGCGCCCGCGGCTGCCCCTGCGACAGCGTCAATGGCAGCGCCGGCGGCAGCATCCATGTCAGCGCTAGCGGCAGCATGCAGCATCGCGCGCGCGTGATTCCGCCCGATCCCCCAAGTTGGGATGTTGTGGGTTTGTCTCCCTGGTCGTCACGGCTGAGCCGGCGACTGCACGGGGGGGGCCGGTAACTTCTTCGAATACCTGAGCGTCTGAGATGCCAGGTCGAAGGAGCGGCGGGCGCGACAGAGGTCTGGCCGTTGGTCCAGCGGGGGCATGTGGCCCCACGATTTCGGCTTCGCCGTCGTGCTCAGGATCATTATTCCTACGATCGTTCATAAACTGTATTATACTTCTGGCAGCAGTCGCTGCAGCGGCACCACATAATCCGCACGCAGTGCGGAAGGGTCCATCTTCTTTGCCCTGGAGATCGGCACCGGAATCCGGATATTTATCTTGTAGCCAAGAAGTGGCGTCCTGTATGAGAGCACCGTGGCAACGGACGTCGTCATGTACTCTCCTGCCCATCTTGTGGGCCCACCTTTACATAATGTCGTCTGTCCTAACAGCCGCACGAATGCGGCAGTCCAAGGCATATTCGTCGGTCCGTTTCTTTGTATCAATTTCTGTTGTGCTCACCATATCTATGTGCGGTGGTACAGGGCCCGTAATATGGGCGTCCTGGAGCATCTGCTTTAGAGGTTCAGGCGTGGCCTGACGTATGTGTTGGCGTTCTTCTGTGGTCACATACAATCGTTGCCCTTTGAATAAAGCAGCATGCCCCACTGCGACGTCTCGATCCCCATCGGTGGGGTCCCTGTACTTTGGCCGCCCCTGTCTTTTATCTGGAGCAAATGGAGAACTCGATCTCCGAAACATATTCGCAGACGCCGGTCCAAACGGAAAAGTCTCGTCATCTATTGACTCAAGGACCCGAGGGTCATTCTCGTATGGGAACATCGTATAAAATTCCTCCGTTTCTATGTCCGTCTCATAGACCTCCGGGTGGCCTGAGGCCCCCGGTGGCGGCCGCGCTGCGCGTTTGGGGACATGTGTTGCCCCCTCACTGGGAACGTGTAATGTCCCTTCGTCTGACGGCACTTGTGTTGGACTCGATGGTTCATCTTGTGCCTCGTGGCGCCCCTCTTGTTCTGCTCCGATTGAGCCGGGCGGAAGAATCGGGGGGCCCCCCGTCGCAGCTGAGCCGGGCGGAGGGGCAGGGGAAGTAGGCGCTCTGACCTTGCTCCCAGAACCACCTGCCTCTTTACGTCTTGACCACCGAGGTCTCTCCGCTATCATCGGAGCGCGCGCAAAATTAGTGTCCCACTTCAAAATCGGTTCGACAATAACATCAGCAAATTCATTCCATGCAGCGGAATATGTGTTCAGCTCCTCAAGTTCGTATTGTATGTTTGTCTCGTAAACGAATTTTGATGTCTTAATATACGATGCAGCAGCAACTCTGAACCATTTGATCGGAAGGGTTTCGGCTGGGGCATCGCGCGCACTCGATCGCAACCCTTTCAAGCGGTAAAAGAATTCTTTTTCATTTCTCAACGCCCACCTGGCTCTCGGGGGCTCAAATTGCATACATGAGACCTCTTTTAGCGTCATTAAGATGGCAGTGCTGCCATCATTTCCCTCCAATTCTGGCGAATCCTGAGACGAATGATCCCCGTCTGACTGAGCCGCGGGGCTTGCGTCGTGCATGTCCAACTGATTGTCGTTTCCATCTCTTCCAGGAGCACCAGCGTCAACTGAGGCAGCCTTCGCCTCGGTATGTGGGGCGCGCCTGATCGGGGCCGTTCACCTGTGGAGCTGCCTTCGACACGCGGCGGATCGCCCCGATGTCTGGTCCAACTGGGTGCCTGTTTGGAGGGTGCCTGTTTGGGGCGAAGCGCGAAGCTCATTTCCCTGGGGGCTCTGAGCCACAGGCGGGAAGCCAGAGACGTTGGTCCTGGTGAGTGTGTTTAATTCGGGCGGAGGGTCAGGAATACTCGGCCTCCACGGTCCGCTGCCAACTGCGTCTGCGCCACTCGACTTAGCCGGTGGCCGGGCAGTCATAGGTGCAGCGGGTCTCCATCAAATCGAGGCATCTTCGCTGGCGGTTGGCCTAAGTTCTCTGACCGGGGATCGAGCCTCGGTGGAGGAGCCTTCTTGGGAGAAACCCCTTTCGCAGGTGGAGCATGTTCCTGCCTAGTACTATTCAGCCGATGGTCCGGAGGACCCGATGGAATACGAATCGCCGGCGGGGCCTTCTTGGCGGGAATTTCTTCCGGTCCACCAGGAGGGGGAGGAGCAGGGGGCCGACTGGCAGCCCTAGGGGGCGGCGCTTTGCAGGTCCTCTCTGCCTTCGCAGATGCCTTTCCCAGGTCAGGAAAATCCTTTTTATCCATTGAGAACGGAATACCGGACGGCTTAGCCGCCGGCTCCTTCTCGCCCCCTTCAGCTGCCCTCTCTTTCTCCTGTGCATCCTGCTCAACCAACTGAACTGATCTCTCCGAGGCCTCGCCCCTATGTGTTGCGTGGATCTTGGTCAGTCTGACTCCTTTCTCTTGGAGCCAAGGCCAGATATCATCGTATTTTTCTTCGTCTGTCTCGCCATTTCCCCTTAAATGGGGGCTCTCCCCCCTTTGCCATTCGAGAGAAGTCAAGCGGGGGGCCCAGGCCGTTTGAGCATCCCGAACTACGTTTGTGGCCTCAGTCCTTTCTTGATCTCGATACCTCAAATTCAAAGTCCACTTCCAGGTTCCATTCTTTATCTCTGGCAACGTGCAGTAAATGTGCACACGCATCAGTAGCCCACAGTGCTGCTGCAATCCAATGATAGAGTCTCAACTCGTATAAAACATCAGTCTCTGGATCACTCGTACTGGACCGGCGTTCCTTTAATGGACTTTGTCGTCTTGGCATAGTAGACAATCTCGGCCGTGACCCAAATGCCATCTCCAAAAGTCTCCTGGAGTAAGTGGTGTGAGTGTTGGGATTGTCAGAACATGGACATGAGTACACCCCAATCGTATGTGTTTTCACGCTTCCGCCGTATCTGGGATTTGAGGGAAGCAATTGATGGCCCTCCAAAATGGCATGAAGGGTGGTCACTGACGTACCATGTGACTGCTTTGTCCAGCTGGTGGATGAGGCTGAGGCTTCCGCAAGCTTCTCTTTTGTCAGGAAGAAGGGCAACGCTAATTCGACGCAGTGGGCTTTGCCAACTCTGTGGGATGTCAACCTCAACTGGGCCCAATTCAAGCGGTCAGCCACCGTGGCGTTCCGCTTCGATACCGACCTATCTGCTTTGATCCTGAAGAAACGAGCCCAGTTCGGCACTAGATAGTTCCGTGTCATCGGTGGAACTCTCGTCGTTTCCTGAAGCATCTGGTGGGCAAGCCACGCTTGGCTATTAGCATATTTTAGAATCGTTTTCCGTTCCCAGCTTGTGGGAGGCTCTCTTCCCTCGGCGATCTCAGCAGCTCGTCCCTCTTCGCCTGGGCATGCGTTAAACGGCATCATACCCCGGTGAAGTTTGCCGCTGGCAACTGTGAGTGGGCAAAGGAAATTATGACGAGTAGTCTATCCTGTCTTCGCATCTTTTACTGGCAGACTCTTTATCTGCTGGTACACCTCATGGACGGGCCAAAAGTAGTCTTCCTCTCCAGGGCATCCATCTTTCGGCCTCCTCGGAAACTGATGCTTGTGCTTCTTACTGATCGTAGTCACACCCTCAGGGCATTTCTCACGGATGGTTCTTTCAGCTGTTTCCCCAGGTGTCTCGATGTCCTAGATATTGGGCGGTGGGGCCAACGGAGGGGCGCGCGGAGATTTAGCCGTCATCGCGCTAGAACCAGAGCCCGTTTCGGCTGAGCCGAC